GCCGTGTACATTTTTGTATCATGATTTTGTATATTTATGGGCCATTGTCGTGTGGGAGCATGGCGGACGTAGGCTTGTGGGCCTAACAAACCGTAAAAACCGTAAAAAAGGAAAATATAATGGCATGCAAAATGTGTACATTTAAGTGTATATTTTATAATTTTGTATATAAAAAACTAATTTAAAAAAAAAAAAAAAAAATCTGCTTTTAAAGCCAGGAACATCTTACTTATGTCATTCGGTGCAATGGACATATTGTTCAAATTTTATTGCATTTAAAAAAATTTATATTATTTAAAATGATGAAAAACTAACTAAGATCTACAAATAAACAGTAGGCCATTAAAATGTTCCTTAAAGTTTTGAAAAATTTCACAATTTGCCTTAATATTAAGTTAAGTTATTAGTAAAATTTTTGTTGTTGTTGTGTTTTTTTTTTTTTTTCATAAAAAGAGTAAAACACTTCAAAACGTTCCTCTTTTGGTGACAACTTTATTTGAAACATTAAAAGTAGTTATTTTGTATTAATTTTGAAAACACTTTTGTATGTTCATGCCAAGGCTTTTAAAGAGAACAGGTGATGATTTTGTAAAGTTCTCACTGATTCTATGGGTGACTCCTTTCACCGAATGACATTTTAATATTTTAAACCTGTAATATTCTTTCAAATTTGGCTTCTTCTTTCAATTGTGTATTGGTACAACTAAAGTGATATAAAACACATTTTAACAAATATTTATTACTAGAAAAGTTGTGGCTTCTGGACACAAATATGCCAATGTCACATCTTCAGGCATTTTTTTGATGAGGGAACATTTTGTTTGATTCACGCATGTTTGAGTAACCCTTATTACTAGTCTCTCTACTTCTCCAAATGTCAGAATGCTGGGTTCCACCTTGTGATGTCATGTAGTGGTAGATTAACAGCTCCTTTTACCTTTTGTTCAGAAGAGATTAACAATTCCAGGTCTGAAATTCTTCAAATGATTCTAGTGAAAGTGTGTGGAATTTAAAAAGGTCTTTTAGTTTGAGAGAAGAACAAAGGCCAAATATCTAGACTTTATGTGTTAAACATAAATGAATGAAACACAACTCTAGGTCTGTTTGTGATGAAGAAACAACATTAGAACATAGATCAGAAACAACTTAATTTGGGCCTCATCTGTCCCACAGACCCTTCAGTACGTCCTTAATATCCACATGTTCATTTTGGGGTCTGTTTGTGCTCCTGGGTGAGTGAGGGAGTCTCCAGCGTGTCAGAGCCAGAGGAATCTTCGGCTCTAGTTCAGACCTGAAACAAGAGAATACAGTCTGGACAAGGAGCGCCATTCATCTGTCTGTCTCTCTCTGTCTCTGTCTGTCTCTCTCTGTCTCTTTCTCTATTCAACTTCATTATTTCTCTCCCTCTCTCTGTGCTAAGGGCTGTCCGGTCCCTGTATGACCGGAGCAGGAGCTGTGTTCATTGCCGGCAGTAAGTCAGACCTGTTGCTGGTGGATGTTGGACTCCGCCAGGGCTGCCCTTTGTCACCGGTTCTGTTCATTGTATTTATGGACAAACTTTCTAGGTGTAGTCAGGGGCCGGAGGGGGTCCGGTTTGGGGACCACAGGATCATCTCTGCTGTTTGCAGATAATGTTGTCCTGTTGGCTTCATCAGGCCAGGACCTGCAGTGTGCACTGGGGCGGTTTGCAGCCGAGTGTGAAGCGGCTGGGATGAAGATCAGCTCTTCCACGTCCGAGGCCATGGTTCTCGACCGGAAAAAGCTGTCTTGTCCTCTCTGGGTGGGTGGAGAGTCCTTGCCTCAAGTGGAGGAGTTCAAGTATCTCGGGGTCTTGTTGTGAGGGGAGGACGGAGCGTGAGATTGACAGGTGGATCGGTGCAGCTTCGGCAGTGATGCGGTCACTGTATTGGACCGTTGTGGTGAAGAGGGATCTACCGTCAATCTCCATTCCTACTCTCACCTATGGTCATGAGCTTTGGGTAATGACCGAAAAGACGAAATCACGGAAACAAGCGGTCGAAATGAGTTTCCTCCACAGGGTGGCTGGGCGCTCCCTTAGAGATAGGGTGAGGAGCTCAGTCACACGGGAGGAGCTGCTGAGGAGCAGCTGAGGGGAGGGCATCTGTTCTGGATGCCTCCTGGGCGCCTCCCTCGGGAGGTGTCTCAGGCACGTCCCACCGGGAGGAGGCCAGGACATGCTGGAGGGACTATGTCTCTGGGTTGGCTTGGGAACACCTCGGGGTCCCCCCAGAGGAGCTGGAGGATGTGTCTGGGGTGAAGGAAGTCTGGGAGTCCCTGCTTAGACTGATGACCCCACGACCCGGCCCTAAATAAGCAGAAGAAAATGGATGAATGGATGGATTTTTCCATCATACCATCCATCTCTCTCTCCCCGACCATTCCTCTGTTTGTCTTTCTTTCACTCTCTTTCTCCCCCCCCTCCCACCAATCATCCCACTCTCTCTCTAATTATTTCTCTCCATCTCTCTCCCACCATTTCTATGTTTCTCTCTCTCTTTCTCTTTCTCTCTCTCTCTCTCTCTCTCTCTCTCTCTCTCCCTCTCTGTCTGCCATTTTCATTGTTTGTCATTTTCATTATTTCTCTTCCTCTCTCTTTCTCTCCCTCACTCTCTCCCTATTCCCCTTTGTCCGTTCTTCCCTCCGTTTCTTTCTCTTTGTCTTGTGTTCTGGGTTGTCAGGTTGATTTGGCTGGAGCAGTTCTGTGCTGGTGGTTTCCCTCGCAGGTGTTTAATGACTCTAAAAATATCTGCAGTCTATGCCACTGCTCTGGACGCCTGTATTTGAGTATTTTTGGGCCGGAGCTGTGTTAAGTTTCATTCAGACTGTGAGCGCTCGCCTACCGTGTTATGGCTGAATCTCAACTGTGAAAACACACTGGAACTCAACCCTCTTCTTTAATCAAGTCCAGTTAGCGACGGGTTTCAGATGACATCACATTTTATAGGCCAGAAGTGAATACAGATGGGAGCAGCTAAGATCAATATAGCATTTTTTTTGTTGTACTACAATGAGTTTTTGGCTCTAGTCACAAATAGAAATGATCAGATTCAACATTTGTGATTGACCTTTAGGAGATTTAATGGTAAAGTACAATCTAATTAATCGTGAAAACTGTCTCTGTCCCATCTGGGAGTATGATGTTATTACATTCTAGGTTCTGAAATAGTGGTAGGTGAATAGAGATAAAAAAGACATTATCCAATCTTCCATTTTTCAGATAGGGGTGTTTGACAGGTGAATTCAACAATCAGGAACACACATGATCTGTCTATATTTGGGAAAAAAATGTTGAAAAAATAAATTACAGGGAAGCTTTAAACCCTGTTCATGTGTTTAATGTTGTTACTCTGAGATTTGTTTGTTTGTTTTACATGTGTCAGTGAAAAAAAAAAAAAAAAAAAAAAAAGAATCTGATGCACCATCATGTTTAGCCAGGCCTGAGACCTAACTGAGGGAGTGGTGACCAGAGCGATACAGACGTGGACAAAATTGTTGGTACCCCTCTGGTAACGAAAGAAAAATCAACAATGGTCACTGAACTAACTTGAAACTGAGAAAAAAACTTTAATAAATACAAAAAAATACTGAAAAATAACCAATGAAAATCAAACACTGTTTTTGAATTGTTCAAAAAAAAAAAACTAATGAAAATGGCCTGGACAAAAAAGGTGGTACCCCTAGAAAAGATTACAAGTAACTGGGCAATAGCCTCTAATCTGCATCACAGGTGTCTTCAGTCAGTCTGTCTGTTTAAAGGGCGACATGTGTCATTGTGCTGTTTGGAGACATGATGGACACAACACTGAACATGGACCAGAGAAAGAGAAGAAGAGAACTGTGTCAGGAGACTAGAAAGAAATTGATAGACAAGCAGGTTAAAGATAAAGACAATAAGATCATCTCCAAGCAGCTTAATGTTCCTGTGATTACAGTTACACATGTTCTTCACAAGTTTAAGCTCCACAAGACTGAAGCCAACCTCCCTGGATGCGACTGCAAGAGGAAAATGATGACAAAGAGATGGATCATACGAATGGAACCAAAGAGCCCAGAACAACCTCCAAACAAATGAAATGTGAACTTGAAGGACAAAGTACATCAGTGTCAGGGACTTTGAACAGATGAGACAAAACTGAAGCTCTTTGGCAAGACACATCAGCTCTATGTTCACAGACGCAAAAATGAAGCAGACCAAGAAAAGAACTCTGTCCCCACTGTGAAACATGGAGGAGGCCTGGTTTTGTTCTGAGGTCAAATATCAAGATATTTTGGAATGAAATGTGTTGCCTAGTGTCAGAAAGCTTGATCTCAGTTGTAGATTATGGGTTTTCCAACAGGATAATGACTCAAAACACACAGATAAAAACACACAAGAATGACTAAGAACAAAACACTGGACTCTTCTGGAGTGTTCTTCTGTGAGCCCAGATCTCACTTCTACAGAAGTCTCATTGACAGTTACAGAAATAATTTGTTCGCAGAGTTTGGCTCAAAAGGTTGTGCAACAAAATATTAAGTTAAAGGTACCATCAGTTTTGTCCAGGCCAGTTTCATTATTTAGTTTTTTTCTAATAATTCTGTTCAACCACAAGTGAAAAACAATGTTTGATTTTTGTTGAACAAATTTCAATACATTTTTATTCATTATTGCTTTTATCAGTTTCAGGTTATTTCAGTGATTACAGATTTTTCTTTCATTACCAGAGGGAACCAACTATTTTGAACACATCTGTAGGTCTGTATTAATAATATAGAGATCTCATTCTTTGCCAGGCAAATAATGTTCCACAGTGTGGCTTAAAAAACTATTTATCTCCATGGAGACTGTTCTGAAGTGTGGTTTAACTGTGTGTTATCATGGAATCGTGCAGATGATGCAAATGTAACCCCCAGCCATGCCACCAGGTTCTGTTCATGCTGAACACATCATTAGTGTGGATTCATTTGTAAATCCTAAAGAGTTTGTTCTTGTGTTTCAGGACTACCCCAAGAACAGACACCCGGGCTGGAGCAGGGGGTCAGTGGCGTACCACGCAGGTGAGGAGCATACATGTTTACACTGCACCTTTCTCCTTAACTATCAACTATATGACCTTATCAAAATATTTTCTCTCAAGATCCACCCACTGACCCAAAGATCAGGGGTTCAGTCCTCCTCTTGTCCGTGCAATGCCATTGTGTCTGTGGGCAAGGCATATGAAACTTTTGTCATAGTCTCATATAAGTGACAGGATCCTGCTACGAATCTGCAGATGAACTCGAGACATTTGGTTTCTCCTGTCTCAGTTCAGCTTTATTCAGGTCTGCTGAACATTGTGATTTGAAACCCTCCAATTTTGACATAAGCCCTTCATTTCTATTGTCTCGACACGTCTGTCAGTGAATGATTACAATTACCTTTGGCAAATCAACCAAAATCGATTCTATTTCTCCACAAAATGAGCGTTTATTAGTGGTTTTGTGCACTTCTCCTTGCTCTGGGCTTGGGTCTTTAACATTATTGTGGTTTGTAGATTGCAGATGCCCCATTGTTAGGTATTCCAAGTACTATGTCAAATATTTCACTTCACACCATGACATTTTTGCACAGGGTGATATAAATACAAGTGATTTTATTTTGATAGGGTCGTTGTTATGCTCTTTTATTTTGATAGTATAGTTTATCTGCTCTCTTGCAGCTAACCCCCTTCACTCAGAACATTCCAGTCGTGTTTTAGGTCTCAGAGTCCAACTATTCTTACACTGCAAAAATCAATGTGTTTATTTGGACTTTTCCTTTATTATTATCTGACTTAAAGGCGCTGTACCTCACTTTCACAGTCTTAAAAGTCCATGGTTCTTCCTCACTTACCTTATGCATTCACAGCATCCTAATTATTCACCACGATGAGTTTATACGTTATTGAGTTATATGAGTTATTTCACAACTTTCAGAGACCAGAGCGGAGTTTTGCAGTCACTGTAAAGCTAACATCAACTTTCATGCTCGCAGCACACCAGAGTTACTTCCTGATTCACGGCCAATAAAAGCTACAAAAAGACGGTAGATTTTGAATTATTGTGTTTTTGTGAACAAGTTTAAATGTGAAGGGCACCTGGCCCTGAAGTTGAACTGAATTCTGACTAGAAAACAAATGGCAAACTAGCAGCCATTTCTCCAATATTATTCAGCCTTTTTTGACTACTTTGTTTTGTTTTGTTTTTTGTTATTTTTATGATCAATTCTGAGAACAAATTTCTACCATTTGCAAGTAAGTATTGTTTGAAATAAGATGCCATTTATAGTCAGAAACATCCTGATATAAATTAAATCAAAATCACAAAAGCCTTTAACTTTTTAGCCAAAAACTGACTTGAATAATCATTTTAATTGTAGTTTATTGCAGAAAAGCTTGTGTCCTTACTGTGCGTGGGCTTGTATCTCCACAAACCTGACTCTTATTTGACCTGGAGGGGGGTCTTACTGCTCGTTTCCATGGAAATTTTCTTTCTTTAGATATAAGATTCTTACCTGGCTCACGCCAGCTTGATCTGTGTGTTACTCTGAAGTGAGTTCTAAACATTATTCATCTGGGACTGCTCTCACTGAAAGAGACTGGAAACATGGAGCACACAGACATGAAGCACAGACATCTTCTTTCTCAACAGATGTACAAAGTGATTACCCACTGCATGTTTTTCACAAACTGATCATCTGTATTAATGCCAGAATAGGCTGAAGTACGTCTGTTGGCGTCCCCATCTTTGTTGTTGCTCATTTGGGCACTTTGTCTTTGGCTCTGCATAAATCTCAGTGTTGCTCTGGGTGAACTTACAAATATCTCAAGAATCCATCTTGCTGTATAACATACGTTCTATGGCATACTATGGAATATTATTAACCCATCTCCATTCAGAATGTTCCCCAGTATGATCTTTGTATTGCCATGGAATCATGCAGGTGACGTGCCTCCTTCAGAGAGTTACATACTGTTACTTTAAATACATCCATATTTGTCTAAACTACTCCAATTAAGATTCATATTCATGAGTCATTTTGACTTTTACATAATTATTCTGCTTTTACAGTGAAATGGCATTTGGAAATTCAACTGAAGAATTCAAGTCATTTTAAACCAATATAGCTCTTCATTTTTGCAGTGTTCGGGTCAATGTTTACACTTGGACTCCCCGCGTTGGAGTGCAGATTCCAGCTATACTTAGAAAACACACGGTGATAGAATAACAGTGTGTGAGTGCGCCCCCTGTGGAGTGAGAGTGATACTTCGGTGCTGAGTGATGGACCAGCGCTGGTTTGGCCCTGTCCCAGACTCCGATAATCTCATTTGTTTTAGACCATAATGATGTGTGCGGTTGGCCATGCTGTGTAACTGTGGTCTCATGTCCCATATAAAGTTACAGCAGAGAGGCTCAAACTGTGAGAGCGGCCTCCATTTGAATCTACTTGATTTAAAACAACACGGTACTCAACATGTCAGCAGTGAACATCAACATACATATGCCAGACGGGCGGCACTGGCTCCGTGCTGAGAGCGTGTGCCCACCTAACCTAAAGTTCAGAGGTTTGATTCCCGCTGTGACAAGTTCAGAGTGTTGTGTACCTGAGCAAGGCACCTCATGTATACTTTACCCAGATTGGCATCTTAAATTAAAAGCACCGTAGCTGATTTTGACACAGCCAGAACCATACAATTTGACCAAACTTTATACAACGACCAGTGGATCTGGAGCCGTATCCTGTCTCCCTGATTTCAGAGGATGTGATTGACAGGCAGATTAAGCAATCACAGGGTAGCCACGGGGTCTTAAAAGTCTTAAAAATTTCTTAAATTTCATTTTCCTAAATTAAGGTCTTAAAAAGTCTAAAATTTTGTTGTCGAAGTCTTATTTTTTTCACGAAAGTCTTAAATTTCAGTAGCCTATTTTTTTGTAAACTCAACCAGGCTGCAGTGCAATGTTAAATGGAGGGAAAAAAAACAACAACAACAACGTGAAATCATGTAACATGAATGAACATCTAATTTGTAGTATGTGCAAACAATATTTTGGTTTCTGGCACCGAGGGCAATGAGTAAACCATCAGTAGAGTGGAGGAAGACGCTGGATGGATCATGGGGAAGTGTCGGTTTAATCCACAGTGGCTCTTAGTTTCTAGATGCAGTAGTTGGTTGATCGTTATTCGAATTGGATCTGGTGTTTTTCACCTGCATAATGGGTGCGATGTTGATCTTAATTTTCATTTAAGTGGTCTTAAAAAGCTCTTTAAAAAGTGTTAAATTTGAGGTTGTCAAACTTGGGGATACCCTGAATCAGGGAAAAAACTGAGCTAAAAATATATATATTTAGTTCTGATTCATATGAGAATTTTCAAGAGGTGTCCTTTGCATTTGAGAGACGTGTTCTGAAATGAGCGGACTCTACCAAGTTTATTGTGTTAATTATTCTCTGTGATGAATGCATGTGTACCTTTCAGAAACCAGAGTGGAGTCAAGGTAATACTAGCATGCTAACAACTCACTACTTGAATTTTGGAGAATAAAACATTGATAATTAGCAGACAGTGGTCGCATTTCTACCTCAAGAGCTGCTTGTACAGTATATCTGGACTCTTCATCTCTAATCTGAGTGAGTCAATCACACCGATCAGAACACATGGAGGCAGGATACAGGTCACACTGTGCCCCGGCCTGGCCAACCAGGCACATGGGCAGTGCACAGGAACCATGTCAGTCTGGTGTAATGATCACTCTTGTGGTCATTAGTTACCATAGAGCTGGTTAGCCCTGAGCTTTAATAAACAAACTTTAATATACATTTATATATATATATTTTTTTTTTTGGAAAGTCTGGGGAAAAATGAATGACAAATGTAGTTGTGGAGGCAGGGGATGGACGATCACTGTTGAGCTCCATAATGACTAGTGTATAAAAGTATTTTCTCGTGCCCTCACCTGAATGGAACACTTAGGTGTAATAGTGTTTGCAGAGCTGTGGAACATTAGCTGTGTCTGTGTGGAGATTGTCTGTCCTGTTAAATGTAGCGTGTTCTGCTGAGGGCTGAGGGCTCACACTCTATCAGTGAAATCAGAGCTCCACAAAGGCTCATTTACCTGCACTCATCAGAGACACACGTGTGACGACTCAACACCACATCACCTGTCCTCACTCCTCCACCTCCTCCCCTCTCTCCTCCCCTCCTCCTCTCTCCTCCCCTCCTCCTCTCTCCTCCTCTTTCTCCCCTTCTCCTCCCCTCCTCTCCTTCTTTCCTGTGTGTGAGAGAAGGAGAGGGGAGAGGAGAGGAGATGCTAATTGTAGGCATGCTTTGTCTGACGCTTTGTTTTTAACACAATCTGACCAGATTAAGTTGAAACTACAACAGGTGAAATTATTTTTACTGTTAAACAAGCCCCTCTCAAATAACATCACAGTCACAGGCTTTGCTTTAACCAACAGTTTTTCAGTTAGTTAGTCTCACCTTTTAGTTGAAAATCAAACTCTTAAACAGAACCATGAGCACTTGTATTGATCAAACGTCTGAAAATGTGTTGTTTAAATCAGTTATGTATTTTGTCTTGCGTTTTCTCAAAACGTTTTTGCTAGAGTTAGTTAAGGTGTACATTGTGTCACCATGGTAACTGCTGAACATTTCACCATACACAAACATGCAGAACACCCCCCGGGTGATGTCACTGCAAAGTATTAATTGGTTAATCGTCTTTATCCAGAGACAATGAAGGACAGGACAGATGCAGAGGACACATTTAGTCACTTTTGAGGAAAGTTTCTGGGGTTTTAGTCAGATCCTTTGGAGCTGGATCTATTCTAACCTCTGGATAAGCCTGTCGTGAGTTGGACTGGTGGCCTCCATTGGTACTGCAGCGAAAAGTCCTCAGCAAGCACAAAGTTGTTGTTTTTTTTCCCATAGAGCTCAATGTAATGACAAACTGCTCATGTTCAGATGACCAGGACCTTCAAAAACAAATTTCGGATTTTGTGATGCTCCGCTCTAGCTTCTGTCACTCTGTCACTGTCACTAGTGGCCTGCTCTTTAGTCTGAGTCTCATGGTGTCTTGGCACACGCTCACATGGGACAGGAGCTCTACTGTGCATGCTCAGTGCAGAGCAGACACCAGATGGATTTAATTGAGGCTGATTTAGCATCACTAACCTCTGTCCGGTGCGTCAGACAGACGGCCGTGGTGCGGCCCACAGTGAGGAGCTGCTGCTCTCTGATTGGCATGTCTAGTTTTTGAATTGGCCCTGGATAATCAGATTGTGAAGCAAAATACAAAATGAAATTGTAAACAACTTTTTATAGTTATCAGTATATCAGTAAAATCAATATTTGAACATGTTTTTATCCAAGGACATGTTTGTGAAATGTAAACCATAATCCGACGGTACTTGCAAAACTTCTTTAACCTGCCAATCTCAGTGGAACAGCCCTGTTCTTGTTGATGTTTGAGCCCAAGTGAAAACATCTTCTGCTAAAGTTTCTGACCCAAGCCCACCTCTGCTCCTCATCTGTTATTTTGATTTGATTTGAGTTTTCAGATCTTGCATCAGAGTGTTCTTTATCTCCCGCATGGCTCCTCAGCTCAGATACCACTGTTTTAAAGTGCGCTGGAGATGGGTCCCATGACAACTCCACAAATATTTATGGGAGCTGGCTGTGCTACCTGTCTGCAGGCTGTACCTCCACTGCAGTCTGGCCCGCTGCCCAGAGCCTGTTTTGAAGACTTCTGTTGGATTGTTGTTGATCTTTCTTTGAAGAAAAGTGCCTTACAAGTAGAGATGTTAACTGTCAGATTTGAGTGTTGTCACGTTAAAATACCTTCTATTAAAAAAAGGAAAATCCCATATTCACTTGAACTTGAAGTCCCACAGATCCCCATGTTATATTGATACTTTGCAGCTGATGTCATCAACATTCTTTGGGGGTGTGAAGCTAACTGGAAGCACTAGTCTCTGTTACTCAAATTACACAGTCTGACCAGAAAGAGCTGGCTTGGTTGGAACTTCATCAGGCGAGCTGATTTGTGCTGTTAAACTAAACTCTCACACATACAATTACAGCTAGTATTGGGCAACAGTTTTTCAGTTAGTCACACCTAGTTTTGTTGAAATCTTGAAACATTTTCACAGTATTTGTTAATGTGTGCACTGTGTCACGATGGTAACTGCTGAGCATTCTGCCAGTAGTGATACATAGTAGAATACCTCCTGCGTGATGTCACTGCAAAATATCAATTATGTGACCAGGACATTTGATCCAGCTTCAGTTTCTTAATACTTGGGGTTATAGTTTGACATATGTGATTTCAGTATACATTAATTAATGGTCACAGATGCACTGTTGAAATTGTGGTGGAGGGTCCATCACCTGGACATTTTTACCTAGAATGCTGCATAATATGGCATTAAAAAGATCTTTCTCCAAGGAGACAAGCAGGTAACACCACCAGACCAAGTTACAAGTCATTGAATGCATGCAGGATAAATTTAATGACATATTGATACTTTGCAGTGACATCACGCTGGGGGTGTGTCTCATGTATATCTATTGGAGGAATGTTCAGCAGTTACCTTGGTGACACAGTGCACACATTAGCAAACACTGGCAAAAAAGATTTAAGATCTGAAGTCTGAAAAATACAAAATGGATTTAAAGAGCACATTTTCAGGAGCTTGTGATCAGTACGAGCCTGGTGCTCTTTAGGAGTTTTGAACAGAAAGGTGAGAGTGACTGTTGACTAATACTAATGCTGACACTCGAATGTTATTTGAAAAGGACTTTTGAACAGCACAAACCACTGCACTGCACTCACAGCTGGACTGAGGACAGTCTGAGGCAGGAGTAAATCTTCCATGATTTCCTGTTTTTGTTTCAGATGACGGCAAACTGTTCCATGGCAGTGGAGTTGGAGACGCGTTTGGTCCTCGCTGTTTTAAAGGAGACATCATGGGCTGTGGCATCATGTTCCCACGAGACTATATCCTCCATGAGCACGGTCAGATATCCACATGAACTTGAATAAATGTCACTAGAATAACTTCTTGCCAAATTTAATCATTACTATTGACCTGGCTTGTGCTGCGTTCCATTTATGCTGGAACTCGGACCTCAGAGTAAAGTTTTCTTGAGTTTTAGGGGACATGTTCACCCCGACATTGTCATTACAATTGCAAGTTATAAATTAATGTTTGAGGGTTGGTTTTTTTTTTGTTTATTGCTTTTGTTGACATTAGCTCCATGTTTCATTAACATAACAGATCATAAGAGCACATTTGTAACTGCTGAGGCTCAACGTCTGCAGGAGCAGGTTCACAGAAGCAGGTGGACAGTACAGAGCATCAACATCATCAACAAACTGTATTTTAACAGTGAGAAATCAAAGTTCATCCTCACACTGGCAACAGCCATGTTGGATTTTTGACCTCGGGACAAGCTCAGGGTTCTGAATTGTTGAGTTGTTGAGTTTCTGAGTAGGAATTCTGAGATGAAAGGCTGTTCCAGGGCACTTGTGAGAGTTAATATTGGTGCACAGGGGTAAATAGCTGATTGCTATTTTTTCCTACTTCTGAAACCAATGGTTATTCAAAATTCTCCTGGTGGATGAATCATTCTTTATAGTGAGGTGACATTCGTGAATGACTGTGCTCTTTTGAACAGTTTCTTCACGTGAACAGTTGGAACTGGCTCTTTATTTTTCTAAATGTTATGCATTTTTACTCTGAGTAATTCTGAACCAACACAAGAATCAGCACAGGAGCAGAGTAGGTGACATAAGTGTGAGCTTTGTGCACAAAATCAGATCTGACTCTTGAATTTTATTAGTAGTAGTAGTAGTAGTAGTAGTAGTAGTAGTATTATTATGCATAATTTCAATAAGTAGACTCCTACTCTTAGTTAAAACCATTTTAAACAGGTCTGAGCCTTGGCCTCTCTGTGATTAGTTTAGGTTTCTGTCATGTAAATAAAGAGTGAAAGAGCCAGTCTTTTGAACGGCTCTTTGAAATGAAACAGGTCCAAAAGATTTGGATCCTATGAAAGAGCCAAAAGTTCCATCACTCATTCTTTATTTAACCCATATGGGAGATGTGAGTGTGTTGCCGTACATGTTTGTAGTGTTTTGGACACACTTACATTAGGACTTTAGAACCATGTCGACTTTAGAACCTCACGATTGCGTAGGGTTCAATGGCCACACTCACACCTGCACAACCGACCTGATGATGTCATCACAGAGTGCTGTTTACATGTGGTGCAGCCAACACTTTTAGAGAAGAAAGAAGTCCAGCGGCATGAAATATCTATTAAACAGTGAGACAGATATGCGTCCTTTTATGATACGCACTCCTCTGTGAGATTATGGATATAAAAATAGTGTGGGGGTGAGGACGGGAGGAGGAGAGGCTGCAAAACTTCTGTCACTGTCCACAATTCTTAATGAAGGTAAACACATATTCAACATGTTTTGGTGTGGAGTTTCTTCACTGTTTTCCTCATATGAGTGACATCAGCGCACACACAGTGCTCGTATAGTAAAGTTGTGTGGGTGCACGTACATGAGCTCCGTGTTGTGCTTTTTCCCAACTCGTCCAACTGGGCCAAAGTCCCGTCCATGCTGCAGCTGGGCATGGTTCGATTGCGCTCACACTGGACAAGTATACGGCACTTTACGGGCAATCCGTGCTTGGGCACAGTTTTAAAGTCCGAGTGTGAGTGCACTCTTAGACTATATGTTTTATTATATAAATTACACACTACAGACAACAACAGAGACCATGATTCAGTGCAGCCAATTTTAATAAATGATTGTTATTAACCACGTTTAATCTGAGTCCTTGACGATAATGAAGGTAATGATAGCTCCTAAACCTCAGGGTCTCATTTGTTAAGTATGTGATTTTCCACATTAAGTGTGATCTATAAAAATAAAAATACAACCTTCAGAGACAAGGAGACGAGAGTTGAGCGAGTTTAAAGTGCCTGTGACAGGTTACACTACTCATTTCACTCAACACACTTAAGAACATTATACTGAAGAGCTTACTACAAATGTTACTTTTTTCCAGTTTGGCAATATTTTAGGTTTCAAATTTTAGTTCCTGGTTGAAAGTCATGACATCACACTAGGGAACTGTTACCTAGCAACCATGTTGTTCATTGGGTCATAACTCCTCTAATGTCGCAGATATGAATATTTAGTAAAATGTTAAAATTAATTAAAACCTTTATTTTGTTGAATCATGTTTAAAGTCTTCATCATCAGAACCTGGCATGCACACTTTAAGGAAGTTAACTTAAATACATACACTTAAAATAAAAAAACACACACGTGAAGTTTTAAAAATGAAATAGAAAAAAACATTTCTACAATATCACATATGTACAGTAACACACACACACACACACTCTAATTAGGGTGGTGTTTACATCCTACAATGTGATGATGTCATAATTTTTGATGGAAGCCAGGGGCCTATTTAACTCTATGGGAGTCACTGTGTTTGAAAAAAATATTCAAACATCTGATCATTATCATTATTTGTTTGAGATTGGCCCCACAAACTTGTCATATTAATCTCATGTATTAAAGTGTTTCAACTGACAACAAGGACGTCTTTGGGGATGAATCATGGCACCAGTTTTTGAGGCTGATGTGAAAAAATTATTACAATTTCTTTGTTTATTCTGACAGAAGATGTTGAATTTGGCAGTTTTTTTTTTTCATGTGGATAGGCCCAGTAATTAGAGCAGTATATAAACCAAAAACCTGGTCAACAAATCTGCGTCTGACAGTTCCACAGGAAATCCCACTGTTTCCAGCTTAGGTTCAACAGCTGCCATCCATTTTCTTCTGCTTTTCCGGGGCCAGGTCGCAGGGGCATCAGTCTAAACAGGGACTTCCAGACTTCCTTCACCCCAGACACGTCCTCCAGCTCCTCTGGGGGAACCCCAAGGTGTTCCCAGGCCAGCCGAGAGACATAGTCCCTTCAGCGTGTCCTGGGTCTTCCCCGGGGCCTCCTCCCAGTGGGACATGCCCGGAACACCTCCCTAGGGAGACGCCCAGGAGGCATCCGGAACAGATGCCCGAGCCACCTCAACTGGCTCCTGTCGACGTGGAGGAGCAGCGACTCTACTCCGAGCTCCTCCCGTGTGACTGAGCTCCTCACCCTATCTCTAAGGGAGCGCCCAGCCACCCTGCGGAGGAAACTCATTTCCAGCGTCCTTTTGGTCATTACCCAGAGCTCATGACCATAGATGAGAGTAGGAACGAAGACTGACCGGTAAATCGAGAGCTTCACCTTTCAACTCAGCTCCCTCTTCACCACAACGGTCCGATACTGCGACAGCATCACTGCTGACACTGCACCGATCCACCTGTCAATCTCACGCTCTGTCCTCCCCTCACTCGTGAACAAGACCCCGAGATACTTGAACTCCTCCACTTGAGGCAGGGACTCTCCACCCACCCAAAGAGAACAAGACATTTTTTTCTGGTCGAGAACCATGGCCTCGGACTTGGAAGAGCTGATCTTCATCCCAGCAGCTTCACACTCGGCTGCAAACTGCCCCAGTGCACACTGCAGGTCCTGGCCTAACAGCTTCAACAGCTGCTTTTCCGCTTTTTCTAGCACAAACAAGAGACAATTATCTTTCAAAAGTATGTTTAACCACAAGTTGTATCAGATATGAAAATAATCGAGTATTTACCTATTAAAGTGTGTATGTCTCAGTAACTGCAAGTCACTGCTAGTGCTGTCGGAACCGTTTCGTTAAGTAACTGTAATCCCTTTTATAGACATGATGTCACTAAAATAAAGAGGAATTTGTAAATTCTGCCAGATATATCTGCTCATGTGCCGATGATCCAGAAGTGACACGCATTTAACAAGCCAATAGGGATTCTATCGTGTTGTGATGTCACATGAACCCAGCCCCTGTTTAAAATGTCGCATAAACACATGGTTTGAAACACTGATGTCTTTAACATAAATGCATCTGCAATGTGCTGGGAATCCTAACCTCTGTTTCCTGTTTGTTTCTCACCTTTCCCCTTTTCAGCTGAAGCAGATGACCCAGAGCCTGCGCCCGTCCAAAACATGCTGTATCTGAACGAGGACGAGGAGGAAGAGGCGGAGCAAGGACAGGAAGTCACCAGGGTCACAGTAAGTATCAGACACACAGGAATAGGACGCAGCCAAAAGCTACAAGACCCCAACTCCCGCTAACATGCATTTAAAAACCACTTAGTCCTGGTTTAGTCCTGGTTTAGTCACAGTTTATTCCTGATTTAGTCCTGTTTAGTGCTTTTCACAACTTTCAGAAACCAGACTGGAGTTTTGCCATCAAGAAAATGCTAAAAACAACTAGCATGCTAACCTGCATTTCTTATTTTGACCTCAAGAGCCACTTATACAATATATCTGTACTGGGGCCAGACAGAGTTTGTTAATACATGGAAAAAACATGTACATGCCCTTTAAAATGAAATCACATTACAATATTCTGAAAAAATATTACAATAAAAGTCACTAATAATATCTATTGACCTCTGCTCAGTGCAAATCCCACATTAAGTCTCTGTGTGAGGATGACAGGGATTTTCCTTAAAGGGGAGCCAGTTGTTTGTGCTGTGGTACATGTAGGGGCTGGTACATGGGTAGGAGCAGAGCAGCTAAAGTGAGTAAGAATAGCGTCTGATCTAATCCCTGGATTTGTCAATATTTGTTCAGTTGAGCTCCAGGTTTGAGCCGTGACTGTGCGGGCCATGCGGGCAGGGCTCAGGTGAGACGAGAGGACTCTTAGGGTGAGCAGGTGAGGGACTTAAAGCTCCTATATTACATTAACTGACTCTTGTGAGCTTTAAGCCATGTTCTAATGCTGTTACTGCCTCAAAAACAGAGCTGGAGGTGTGTTTTCTTTCATTCACACGTTTCAGTAACCATTTATTACTGGTCTGTCTACATCTCCAAAGATCAAAACGCTCTGTTCCACCCATAAACTGTATCCAGCTCAAAGTTCAAAGTTCACTTTATTGTCAATTTCTTCACATGTACTGGACATACAAAGGAATCAAAATTATGTTTCTCTCTATCCCATGCGTAGACAAGACAGGACAAACATTTATTTATTTTTTAACATCATCTAACACTACAGTAACCAGAGATAAAGAAATGAAGATAAAAACACTAGTGTGCAGTACAGTACAGTTGAAGTCAGATCAGGTATTAGCAACAGTGGACGAGGAGTGGACTAACTAAGTGATGTCACCCACATCTTTCAGCTCCAGTCAAATGAAGCTCATTGAGGCTCGCAGTTATAGGGGCAAAGTTGGAGCTGAATTCCGTATTTGGAATTCTGATTGAGAGTATCCTAGGAACCAAAGAGCCAATCAGCACTGAAGTTGAAGGTAACAGCGCTTGGCAACTATCAATCAAACCTGCGGGATCGACCCATGGATCTATTCAAATAACTGGGTAGGATATGCTGTCTTGTACCTGTCTTGAGTTGGCGTAGTGGCCACTCACTGGTACTTCAGCGAAAAAAAATTACTCCTGCCCAGAAAGGATTTTTCCGACAGAGCACAATGTAATCATAAACTGCTCGTGTTCAGCTGACAGGGGCTGACAGGGCATCTACAACTTTAAGGTTAGGTTTAAGGTTAGGCTACCGTATTTTCTGGGCTATTAGACGCGCTCTTAAGCCTCCAACCCTATCAAAAAACGACTGCACGCCCTGCATTCCAGAGTGCCCTATACACGAATCCACTCGGGTGTCCCAGCACGACTTCAGTAAACTACAAAGCCACACCACCCACAGAACACACAAACACACACAGGAGCAGACAGCGACCGCACAACCAAAAACACCCACAGACACACTCATCACTCCACACGGATGAGGAACGGAACGGAGGAACGGACCGAAAAAGCGAGTGCAATGTGCCACTTCTAGACACAACTGAACAACTGAGTCACTGTGAACACGCCGACAATCCGTTGGTCCCAGACACACCCTCCCTACACGCCACAACTGAACAAAGCCCAGAGTCACCGTGAACGCCACAAACAAACAAAACCACTCACCCATCACACTGTTGGGTTTCATTTAAAGTCCAGTGCGGTTTATTTGTGAAAAAAGTTCAAAAATAGACCATTCAATGACAGTGCAAATCCAGAGCACCTTATAGCCCAGAAAATACAGTAATCTGGAGACTGCGTCATTGAACTCGGCCCGTTGCCTTGAATGGACGTCCGTGTTTAGATCCCGGGGCTTGGATTGACCTCGGGGGGAAAAAGGCGCCTGATTTGTCTGTTATTAATGTTCATATCCTGAATTACAAACAAAATAACTAAATAAAAAACAGGATAATGTAAAGCGGATTAATATGAACATTTTAAGACCAAATAGACGAGTCTGACAGCAGCAGGTACAGAGAGACGGCGGTGACTGTTTTTCAATAGAAAGTGAACTGGAGCCAGATTTGATGGAAGCTGAATCATACCTGTGCTCACTTCCTGTTTGAAAACTGGCAACTAGCAGGTTATGGCTATGTCCAGTGTTGGGGAGTAACAGATTACATGTACCAGAGTTATGTAATCAGAGTACAAATTATGAGTAACTGTATTCAGTTACAGTTACTGTTTCAGTGAGTGGTAATTGGATTACAGTTACTTTGTTGAAATAAATGGATTACATGGCGGTATTTTCCTGTTTTCACATTTTGGGCTATATCCCTTTTTTTTTTTTTTCTTTCTTTTTTTTAAAATTATTATTATTCCACTCATTGCCGGACACTAAACCAGGACTAAATCAGGATTGAACCAGGACTGAACCCAGGTCTAAACCAGGACTAAAACCAGGTCTAAACTAGATCTAAACCAGTTCTAAATCAGGACTAAACCAGGACTAAAACCAGGTCTAAACCAGGACTAAACCAGGACTAAACCAGGACTAAAACCAGGTCTAAACCAGGTCTACACCAGGACTAAACCAGGACTAAACCAGGACTAAAACCAGGTCTAAACTAGATCTAAACCAGTTCTAAACCAGGACTAAACCAGGACTAATACCAGGTCTAAACTAGATCTAAACCAGGTCTAAACCAGGTCTAAATCAGGACTAAACCAGAACTAAACCAGGTCTAAACCAGGTCTAAACTAGATCTAAACTGGGGCTAAAACCAGGTCTAAACTAGATATAAACCAGGTCTAAAACAGGACTAAAACAGGATTTAACAGGACTAAACCATGCCACGCGGACCATATCTCGTCCTCTTCTATCAGTAATATTTTTAATTTGGTTCAGTAAAGTCTGGGCTTTTTATTTTCTTTTAGCAGACCAAACATCTTATGTGAAGATTTCCCAGTCTTTGCTTCTTTACAGCAAATCAAGTAATCCAAAGTATTCAGATTACATTACTCACTTTACATTACGTTACAAACTACAGTTTGGGGTATGTAATCTGTAATCTGTAGGGGAATACAGTTTAAAAGTAACATTCCCAACACTGACTATGTCCATTTATATATCCAGTCCATGTTTGACTCAAATGACTAAATCTATTCAAAGTGTCATTAATCAAGCAGCCCCAGATGAATATGTCTTTTTGAGTAGAGTGTAATTATTTGAAGGGCTTTCGACTTGACTAATGTTAATGTTGGAATAAGCAGTAAACGAATGGTGTAACTTAAGTGAATCTTGAGTCTCTTGTAGTGTTTGTGAATACCTGCCTGAGCACAATGGCCTCATAGGCACACAGTGTACCGTGAAGGGCTCAATACTCTCTAAGCTTTTCATTTTAAGGTGGTTGAATAGCAGATTAAATATTTAGAAGTCCAATCTATGGAACAGACCCACTCCACGGCACTTGACTTGTTTTGTCAGATAACGCGTGTATTTGCTGGAGACTTGAACGAGATCTGTCCGTATTAAACCGTGAAACAGTGTATTGATGTGAAAGGAGCAGATCTGATTTAGTGCCGCGTAAACAATCACTTTTTCCCCTTTACAAATCCTCAGACATTACACCACCAGCTTCGGTTTTTCACAAATGATTTTCCACCACTAATATTTACAAAAGGTTCAATGGACGGATAGAATTCACTGTTTTAAGGAGCCTGCACCTGATTTTTGTTCCATGTATTTGAGCGAAACCTGTCTTGCCCCAGTACAGATAGATTGTAAAAGCAGCAAAGGTCAAAATAGGTCAACTGTGTTCTGTCTGTATCTTCATTTAAAGCACAAGTGTCAAACATACAGATCTGGCCCTCCAAGACCTTTAATCTGGCCCTCGGCTGAATTTCTACTAAAATATTTTAATTATATTTTCTATTTAAATATTGGTAATTTGGTCTCCAGCGTCTCTGTACGTGGCCCCTCCCACCAGAGCAGCACAAATGAAGACTTGTCTCTTTCCAAACGCTCTTAAAGGACGATCGTTTTGACTGTTGACCGTGACACCCTCATCAACAAAATGTCTAAAATGAGAAAAGTAGACGCAGAGTGAAAAAATTTACTTATTCCTATTTGCATATGAGTTCATGTAAAAAAATTGTGTTGAAATTGCATTTTTCTTAAAGTTTCAGGTTGTTCATAATATTATAACATTTTGTAAAATAAAGAGTTCATCAATTTAAAAAGATTTCTGTAATAGATTTGCATTTCTCTGCACAAATATTTGAACTTATTGCAATTTTTGGGGTTTATATGCCATGAGTTTTCTGATCCGGCCCCTTTGGGATCAAAATAGGTTGGATACGACCCCTGGACCAAAATGAGTTTGACACCCCTGATTTAAAGGGTTTTAGTGTCTGAGAATCAGCAAGTGTTAGCATGCTAGTTGCTGCCATGATCGTGAACTCCACTCTGGCCTATGAGGTTTGTGAAATTCACTTATAAATTCATTGTGGTGAATAATCAGGATGTTCAGAATGCATAAGGTAAGTGAGGTAGAACTTTGGACCACTGCAAACTGTAAAAATCAGGAGCAGTGCCAGAATATTCCACAGTCCAACATTAAACTTATCTGTCTTGTATTTATTCTACCTCAGTTGGTTTAGTTGCTCAAAAACACAGTGGAGCACACGCAGCAAGACTGTGAGCAGGGTCGCCTCTCCACACATCTGACCTGTAATGTGGCCTGGTGGTCTTTATCTGCTCTTCTTCATTGAGACAAATATAGGGTGACCCGACTTTCAAAATCAAAAACTGGAACATCCTGGTTTGTGGTGGTTGGTAATAATAAAATTCTGTAACAAATGCGCAATTAAGGAAACTGATTATGCATGCTGCACTAAAAGTCAGTCTGTATAGTCACATTTTCTTTATGTTTTGGTCATTTTTAAGCAGATGTTTTGTATTGTACCTAAACAAATGACAGTTTATGCCTCTCTTTACTGTAAGCAGGCATCAAATTGGTCAAAAATAGGGACACCACGGGCATTTCTTGTATAAAACTGGGACAAATCAATGGTTTTGTATAAATCTGCTGGGACAAGGGACACAGGGCTCAACACTGGGACTGTCCTGAGTAAACAGGGACGTCTCATCACACTAGATCAATATATTTAATGCCATAATGTCCAAAATTCCAACCAAGACAGTCACATCTCAGAGTTCAAGAAGGTGACAGACACTCCGCCAGAAAAGTTACACAGTGCATCTTTAAGAATTGGATTTTCAATGAAGACATTCACTCGCTGTCCAGAATATTGTGTCCTGTTGTAAGTAAATCAGAAAAAGAATGGCCCAGCCCGTGCACACACTGCATGTGTAGAACAAACTGTACCCAAACATCAAACTATAATGATTAGATGTGCTCTTGCCACTGGTGTAGTGCCATGGCTCTCAAACTGTGATACACCACCTCCTTCAGGGCGTGTGGTGGTTCCTCTGCTGAATGTAGAGTAAATTTAGTCCACATTTTTAATCCTAGTATAGTTTGTGTTGTCCTGTTTTAGACTTGGTTTAGATATTGATACTTTGCTGCGTTTGCACTTTCCCTGAGGGTGTGATGCTGACGGAGGCTTGTTTAGACTTTAATCTGACCCTCGTTTGTGAGGGTCCCCGCATTAGCAAACGCAAAGGTCAGAGAAAGGTTCTCTGACCTTTGCGTTTGCTAATGCGGGGGTCTGCTGCCTATTCTGACATCCTTTCATTACGACATGCCTCTATTAAGACGTGTCAGTTTTCCGACACTTTTTAGTTTCGATATTCTGATATATTCTTTTTATATATTTTCTTTTGAGAGTTGCGATAGTCTACCCAGGCATGTCTTTTGCTGTTCTTCGATGTTCTTAGTCTCAACATCTATCAAGGCAGACACAAAACCGACACACACACACACACACACACACACACCTATGCACAGTACAGGCAGATCAACTGAACTGTCACTACATGTCAAACTTACACATAAACATCCTTGTATCCTTGTTGTATCCTCGTACTTTCCTATCGCTTTGCCCTGGCCCAAGAATCTTGTGATATATGGGAGTACAAAATATTAATAGGCAATAAATCACATTAATATTATTCATAACGGAAAAGCCTATTGTTTGAAAAATAATAAAGTGCCTCTACTCCGACAATGAAAAAAAAAGTAGTGTAGAAGTAGTGGGGCGCCTGAAAAATACTGTATTTTCCTGGCTATTAGACGCGCTCTTAAGCCTCTAGCCGCATCAGAAAACAACTGCATGCCCCACATTCCAGAGCGCCCCATACGTGAATCCACTCGGGTGTCCCAGCACGACTTCAGTAAACTACAAAGCCCCACCACCCACAGAACACACAAACACACACGGAGCAGACAGCGACCGCACAGCCAAAAACACCCACAGACACACTCATCACTCCACACGGATGAGGAACGGAACGGAGGAACGGAACCGAAAAAGCGAGTGCAATGTGCCACTTCTAGACACAACTGAACAACTGAGTCACTGTGAACACGCCGACAATCCGTTGGTCCCAGACACACCCTCCCTACACGCCACAACTGAACAAAGCCCAGAGTCACTGTAAACGCCACAAACAAACAAAACCACTCACCCATCACACTGTTGTGTTTCCTTTAAAGTCCAGTGCGGTTTATTTGTGAAAAAAGTTCAAAAATAGACCATTCAATGACAGTGCAAATCCAGAGCACCTAATAGCCCGGAAAATACGGTAATGTTTATGCCGCTGCTCTGACAATTATTCAATGTCCAAATAACAGCATGGAACCACTAATGTGTGTGTTGTTTCTCAATGGTAACATAGGCATACATGTAGAACACCCCCGGCATGTTGTCACTGCAAAATATCTCTAGATTTGTCCAGTTAATACCAGGTTTAGATCTGGTGGTACTCGGAGGGCATTATATAGGTGAGACCATTGGTGTTGTGTTGTTACCGAATGTCTCTACCAACTCTCCCCATTTTACACTCCTGCTTTACAAAACTACATTTAATAATATTTTCTGAAATCTATAAACTCAGTCCGTCTTAATGGTTCATTCATTCAGGTCATAAAATAAGTTAACTCCAGGTTTAATGTTTAGTATTAAAGAAATATTATGCTTATGTAACTCACTGTGGCCCTCTTGTGGTGGTGCAGGTCTTCTTCAGCAGGAACGGGAAGCTGATGGGGCGCAGGGAGATGGTGGTGCCCCCTGGAGGACTCTACCCAACAGTGGGCATGCTGAGCTGTGGAGAGAAGGTTAAAGTGGATCTTCACCCACTCAGTGGATGAACCTGGACCAAACCTGGGCTAAACCTGGACCTAAACTTGGACTAAACCTGGACATAAACCAGGGTCTTAAAGTGCATACGACAGGTTTTCACGTTTTTCTAATTCTGACTTGGTTTGGTGGCTAGTACCTGTATGAAATATTTGTAATAGTTTTACATCAGCCAAGTGACAGTTTGTTCAAAAACAGTTGAAGAAAAATCCAGGAAGTAGTGTTGAATTCTAAAACAGAATCCCTCTACCTTTGTTATCAACACAGAAAGCTCCATCTAAACTGTATGCAGAAGGAAGGCATTTATCAGTCTAAGTATAACTATTGTTCAGTTTTGGTCCTTGTTTACATTATGGTTGCTAGTTAATGGTCACCAAATTCCCTGTACGTGCTGTCTGTGTCAAACTTCACCACATCAAAAGCTCAAATCTTCAACATCATTATAGTAACTTTGTTTGGTGAAATGAGTCTATTTGTCTAATTAGTCTAACCCGTCGAATGCACTTTAACCTGGACCTAAGTTTGGACTGCAGTATGGTCCTCCAAATGTCTGCCTGGAGCACTGGTCTGGACACACACTAACACCACATGACATGTGAGGCAGGTTTCTGTAGTCTTCCAGCTCGTCTGTTGAAATGCCTGTAATACTCAACTCTCTGCTAACTCTGTCCCCTGATCAAGACTATAAACACACTCATGGATCTGACTATGATTTTACTTTTAAAGGAGACATATTGTGCTTTTAGGAGCTTTTAAACATGTTCTTCTCTGAAGTATTTAGAGTGATTCATGCATGTTTGAGTCATCTTTATTCTCCTGTAGTCAAGACATCATTGCTCCTCTAGCCCCCTACACGCCCACTGTGACGTACTTACTTTGTTCTCCAATTTGACTTTCTTTGTCAGTGATACGCGTAAGATTTGATCACATCATTTTGGTACAACTGAAAATAAAAATCATTTACTCACTAGAGTGAAGTGCAGCTCTCCACAGGAGGGGCCCACAGCCTGCGGCGCTTTGTTGTCATGACGTTTACGACCACGTCAACTCCACTGGGGACCACAGTTTTCTAACGCACAAGTCAGACGACTTGTTTCTTTTACTACGTTGTTTTAGATCAATATTACAATTTAAAATAGCCAAATGATAACATAATGATCCACAGGTGTCAAAGATTATAAGTACAGAGCACACACAAGCACATATGTCTGCTTTAAACTATATATGATAAAACTTAAAACTAAAAACTTATCTGCATTCTTTTTTTTTCCTGATTAAGGAGGACAGGACATTAGTGGAGGGTTTTGTACTTTAAAAAAAAATAAATAAAAATAAGAGATGTTCTTTGCCCTCTGCCAGGAAGACACTGCCCTCTTGTGGGCCATCAGGGACATACAGCTTCATAAATACCACACGTCTAAATAACAGGGGTGGGACGAGACACGAGTCCATGAGATTGAGACAACCCCCCCTCAGCTGTTAGGGACGCAGACAGAGGAGGAGCACTTCTGTCTTCTTTATCACTTTAAACTAAGTTATTATGGGTAAAAAGGCCTAAATATCTCTTTGTGGATCTTTTTCAAACAAAGTTTAAGTGTGAAAAACACCACATGTTCCACGCTGTGAATTAAACACACATAGATTTGATCATATTATTGTTGATTATTTGCGTCACCATTGTGTCCCATTAGTTTGAAAAAGTGGGTCTGAGTTTGAAGTGTTTTCTGTCTGAATGTGGAGGCTCTTACAGCTACAGCTGCTCTAAGACGCACACGAGATCTCGTCCCATCCCTACTAATTATTTTCTGAATTTAAAACTATGCTGATAAAATCTATATTGCCATATTATAAAGTCAGATTAGAAGTATTTTTCTACACAAAATAATGCTCTAAACCTAACATGAGTTTAATGCTGTATCAGGGAATGTGTTCAGTGCACTTTGATGAGCTCAAACTAACAGTGACATGATCATTGTTGTGGTGCAATTTCCAAATACACAATATTTACACAATAACACAATATTTCACCTTTTTTCCATTTAAACTTTCTTTTATTGGAATTGTTCATTTTAAATAGCTCACCTTAAAATTCAAACTATTTGCTTTGGATCAGAAATGGTGAAATAGAAAATAATGACATAATACATTTATTTAAAGATGCACTGTGTATCTTTTCTAGTGGCTGCTTGTCTCCATGGAGATGTCATTGCTTTGCCTGAGATGTTCTACAGTATGGCTTTAAATTTAGCTTGTATTTTTCATTACACATTTTTAAAATGGTCAACAATAAAAAGTCTATATAATAAATAAATAAATATAAATCTATATATCAATATATATCTATATTGTAACTTGGCCTGGTGATGTCAGGTTTCCATGGAAATTGCTAGGTTTAATGCCATACTACAGAACATTTCCATGGAGACAAGCAGGTGGCAAACCCTCCACAGAAAAGTTTCAGAGCGCAGCTTTTAAGGTTTCATATTTGAAGTGCTTCAATCAGGTTTGTATGTTTGTCTTTAACCCACTTTACCTGAGTCCCTTGTGTTTTTGAGACAATCCTAAACTTAAACTTGAGCCAATACAAAAGCTTTTCTTCATGTTTACTGATCTGCAGGTTTTCCACACATGCTGAAATACTAGTACTAGAGTTTACTGTGCCATTTGAAGTTGTTTTTTTGTTTGTTTTTTTAATTGATGTGAATTGTCACATATTTTGTTTGTGGAAAGAAAACTGTTAGTCGCTGCTGGATATTTCAAGAAAATGAAAAAAATGTACAAAGTGATGTGGGACGCATCTCCAGATGTTGAGACACGTCTACCTGAGCTGGAGGATTTCACCTGTTTGTTCATGTGGGAAATCTGAGTAAATCCACGGAGACACAGGAAGAACATGCAAACTCCACCCGAGAATTGAACCTGGGACCTTCTTGCTGTGAGGCAATGTTTTCAGCAGCTATTGAGCTTTTTGTTTCATGTCTTGTTTGTCAAATTGCTTTAACTGTAAATCATAAATCGGAGCTTAAAGACGGGGTATTATGCAAAGTCCAAACTTTCTCCCACCTCATCAAAAACACACCTGAAGAGTTTGTTTAAATATGTCATCCCTGCATGTTCGACTCATTTAGCGATCTGTCGCGAGCCCTATTTAAATGTAGTTATTATGATGAAGTGAGATTCAGGAGCAGGACCACGCCTCAGCCGCCCTCTCCTCTCACCAGCGAACCACAACTCACCTCCACCATGCCTCCAATTTCCCAGAAGTCGATATGTAGCAGCCTTTCCCATCATCCCAGTTTGTCTCGGCGAACTCGACCCCACCCTCCCATCCCCTGTTTTGTCTTTCAGTCATAAGACCCCTACAAGGGGGGTCCCATTCCAGCTGGGCTAATTGTAGATTGAGACGGAGCCCCCACCCATAGTCTCAACCAGCCATCTCTGCCCCGCTTAGTACATTATCAATAAACTTCTTCGCACTATGTCGTTGTTGGCGTGGTCCTAGCTAGTGAAACCTTTCTTATGGTTAGCTGTAAGATTCTGTACAAGGCTCCGCCCACAAGCCGGCGTCGCCCGTGCTCCAACACGACAAGTCTCCACAAATATACAAACATCTGATCCAAAACTGTTCACAACAACTGGACACAGCTGATGTGATGTGCTCGAGTTTCATTTCGGGATACACACTGATTGTGTTGTGATAGTGCTCTGAAGGGGGTGTGACTTTACACCGAGAGCAAAGGGAAACTCAGAGCAGTAAAACTAAAATCTGTTTGGTGAATATAGCATTTTCAAAACAAAAGGTAACATGGTGATGTAGATATGTGATGTGTTGCGGTTAATACCCCACACACTCAAATATCCCCTCTTCACGTTCTTCACTTGTGGTCACATTTTTAAATATTTATACCCTTGTTTAGATTATTACTTCTACTTCAGTAATATTATTTGAGTAACAAAATACTTGAGTATAATTGTTGGACACCAGCACTTGTGGTGATTCAGGTTTGTCACGGTTAAACCAAAAAACAACTAAATCTAATCAAGTTTTTGCAGAATAGTTTTGCTTCTTGACTTGCACTTTTATGGCCTTGTTCAGATGCATGTTCTTCACCAATAAAATCTACTAAACTAAATCTGTTGAGCTTCAAGTCATTTCAAATCTTTAAAGGTTTAGGTTTTTGCAATTTATATGAATTTTAAACTAAATAGTATTTAAAAAGTCTTGGTACATTTATATGTGAGGATTTATATCAGAGTTTTAAGACTTTTTAAACATCTTATCAATATCTTCATGTGAATCATTACTCAGAATAGTCTTCTCAAGTCACAGGGCTCAAGTCAAAGTCAAGTCCCAAGTCATTTAGTCTATTTTATCAAGTCAAGTCTCAAGTCTTAAAAATAGTCAAAAAAAGAAAAAAGAGTCAAATCTGACTCAAGTCCAAGTTAGGACTTACAAGTCCCACCTCTGGGGATACAGACTCTTCACGAGATGAGACACACCACCAAATCAGGTTCACGAGAAGGAGACAATAAAAGACTTTGACATCATTTATCGTAAATAAGCAGTGCAGTTCATTTCACACATTTGGTTTCACTTGTTTTTATTTATTTTATGTCATACTTTGGTAACACTTTATAATAACTACACCTTATTTAGCCTTAATAAAGCATGAACAAAGACTTAATTAATAATGATTCATGCTTAGTAACTACTTAATTACTACCTGAATTAGCACTTAACTTGCACTTAATTCACCTGTGCTGTAAATAGTAACTCAATACTTCTTAATTACTCATGAACTAACCATTTGCATGTTTACAAATGTATATTTAAGTTCACATTTGAGCATTTATTAATGATTAGTAAGTTATGAGAGAATGATTTACTAATAATACAATGCAATGATCATTCAGGCAGCTGTTGTCTGTTAGTTAAGTCTTTCTGAGAGTTTTTCTAAAGTGAAGATTATGTTTATTAAGCATTTGTTAAGGTTGGTCAAATTCCAGAGAAACAATAATGCATTATTAGTAAATCATTCTCTCATGGCTTATTAATCATTAATAAATGTTCAAATTTATACTTAAATATACATTTACAAATGCACACACAAATGGTTAGTTCATGAGTAATTAAGTAAGAAATACTTATGAGTAACTATTTACAGCACAGGTGAATTAAGTGCAAGTTAAGTGCTAATTCAGGTAGTAATTAAGTAGTTACTAAGTGTGAATCATTATTAATTAAGTCTTTGTTCATGCTTTATTAAGGCTAAATAAGGTGTAGTTATTATAAAGTGTTACCCATACTTTATTGATCATTCAAATTTAGCTTCTCAAATTGTATAACTCACCAGCTTTTAACTCTTTTTTTTTTTGTCCAAGCCAAAGGTAAATTTAGGGGGAAACAATCTGATGAGATGATTTTTCTCATGTGTCACAATTTTGTCCTATCCCTGGTCCTTAGAGAAGACACTTGACCCACATTGCTTAGTATGAAAGTGGTGTGTGTGTGTGTGTGTGTGTGTGCGTGCGTGTGTGTGTGATGGTGCTCAGATTCAGTCTCATTTCCATCACTGCCCCACAGTGAATGAAAACTGCATTAAACTGTAAAGTGACTTTGAGCATGTACAAAAGCTCAGGCGTTATTGGGAAAAACAGTTTTAATGATCACTCTTCAGCTACAAAAATGATTCCAGATGAGCTTGTGTTCAGCCGTGTGCTCATCCTGTCCTTAGAAAGAAAAAAGAAAAAACAAAAACACTATTATTTGGATTTGTTTAGTGAGTAGGTGTATACTTTCTCTACACAAAGAAATCGCTTGAAATACTGAGATTGTGATTATGAGTAACATGAAGTGATACTTTTTGTCCATAATGGTGCAGCCCCGTGTGAGACTCAAACTGTCGTGTAAAAGTATTCAAAAATACCAAGCCAAAGTCAGGTGAATTTTTTTATACAATTTATTTATATTTGACCCCATGATAAAAACACGTCCCAGTGAAAAATCCAGTTTGCACACATACAATTAAACTTACGTAACACAGATTGAAGTGAAAATGTGGAATGTTACGATATCATCTATGACACAGACACGTTTAAAAAGTCGACAAAGTGCTGGACTTTCACTGCAAAAAACTAAAATGAAAAGTTCAAATTCTGAATATTCATTTTGGTTTAAGTTGTTTTTGACAGTCACGAAAAACAATTATTCGAAGAGGTTTAAACTGCAAGATTACCAAGTGCACTGTGGAACTTTTCAGGTGGAAGGTTCTGTCACCTGCTTGTTTCCATGGAGACGTCTATAATAACACTTTACACTTACCCAGATTTTCTTGTGAGACTAAAACATATCCATCTGGCCCACTTCAGTCTCTAAATGCTCCTAAACCGCGCTCTTTTTGTGGCGGGACTTCTGGTTCAACGGGGATCCCACTTATGTCATTGGAGAATTTGGGAAACGTTTTGCATTTTAAATCTGACAAAGTCGTTTCATTTGTGTAAAATGTTCAATGTTCATGTGACCAGCAAGATTCTCTGGAGGCTTTAAAACGGTTTTATTGTCGCTCTTGAACTTATTTGCAGCTCCGTACAAAATAACACAAGCCCAATGATGATGACGGCGCCAGGGCAACTTTCGGAATAACGGGAAGAGATAAAAGTTTAATGCCATACTCTGTAACATTCTGAGCAAAGCAATACAATCTCCAAGGAGACAAGCAGGTGCCGGACCCTCCATAAGAAACTCATCATTGCCAGTGCCAGTTCTTCTCACGTTATGTTTAGACGTACATTTGTAAAACAGACCATTTTAACTACAAGAACAGAGCAGATTATGTCATTTATTTAAATACTAATTCAAAAATAAATCCAACAAGAAAAGGTTTTGTAAAGGAAAAGGAAATGTACCATATTTTAAGTGCAAATTTCTTGGTCAAATAATTGTGAAGTGAAGTGTGTTGAAACAACATGGAAAAAGTCCAATCATTTTTCTGAGTCAAATCTTACAGAGTCTAAACGACTTAAACCAAGATTCAGATTTAAAGGTGCACGATGTCTTTTCTACGGAGGCTGTTTCCATGGAGATGCTGTTGCTTTGCCCGGAATGTTCCAAAAAAAAAAAAAAAAAAAGGCATTAAACTTAACTCAACTTGTTGAAGAGAAGCAGTTCAAGTTGCAGTCTGGATCTGTGGAGAGGCAAGCCCACTCACAGCAAGAACGCAACCGAAGCGAAAACGTCTGTTTAATGCCATACTGCGGGACATTCCAAGCAAAGTCAAGTAAATTCGCCATGGAGACAAGCATGTAGCACACCCCCACCAGAAACGTTACAAAGTGCACCAATCTCTACATTTCATTTCATTTTGTGCAGTGTTTTGTTAAAAAAAAAAAAAAAAAAAAAAACAAGCAGAGCAAAAACAGATTTCCAGTTTGGTAAGAGTTTTGATTTTAGCAGTTTTGTCCAAAATGATTTTATTATTTATTTAAAAAGCTTGTCACAGCATCTCGATCTCCAGCAGAAAAGTGTAGGAATGGCTTTGAACGTCCCACTGAGAGACAAGAGGCACAGTAAAGAAGACCACAACATATGACAAGACTTTAAATGACTTGAATTCTAAATATTGACTAGTTTATATCAAAAAAGTTCATTCATAAAAACAAAACAAGATCACAAGAGAAATACGAATAGGTTTTTTTTTTTTTTTTTTTTTTCAATTTCAAGTGTGAATTTCTTTGTCTGGGATCTGAAACACACACTTCTTCAATACTTGGGTAAACTTTGTAAAATGACCTGATATAAAATGATGTAAAAGTATGAACATTGTATTTTTTACATCAACATAATTTTGATATTTTGAAATTTTTGCCCTCACAAACCTCGTGGCAGAAGCTTGAATAATAAAAATAGTGCTTCCTCCAGTCAGATGCATCTAAAAATCACTTCAACAAAAAGTCAATATTGTGAATTCATGTCATTTCAGTTCTTGTAGATATGTGGTTTTGCAGTGGTTCAGTTCATAAGTCTGTTTTAGGCATCGTTCACCGTTCTCCTCCTCCTCCTCCTCCTCCTCTTGATCGTTCAGGCGTTCTCTTCCTCCTCTTCGTAGCATCGGTTTTTCTTGATCAGGTCTTCCACCGTCAGCTCCTCTTTCTCCTCCACCTCCTCACTGTCCCAGAATCCCACGTCCTGACACGAAACAAACCGAAGATTTGACAATTTATTGGTAAAAATAAGTACTTGTGCTCTTACAAAACCGACTGGGATCTCAACCATGACTTGAACTAAATGAGGAATAAAGGAGGACTAAACCCAAACCAAACCAAACCAGGACCAACTGAAGTCTATAATCAAGACTAAAACTAAATCAGCTCACAGCATCATCAACAGTAAACGTGGGGTCTCTAGCATTATTTTGTTTCTCATTGGATAAAACCTGAGCTCTTTGGTTGTGTCTGTACCTGAGAGGAGTGGCTGGCCTCCACCTCGCCCTCAGAGGAGCACAGGTTGTTGAGCTGTTTGGTGTCCAGGGGCTCCTCCAGCAGACCCTCGTCCGCTCTCTCCTCTGCCCCACAGCGCTGCTCCTGCGTGGGCTCGCTCAGGTCTCTCTCTGGGTCGTCCTCGGAGCTGCTGTGGATGTCCACACAGCTGTCCTCTGTGGGGGTGTGGCTGGGGGACGACTGTGCGCTGGGCTCTAGGCTCCGCTCCTCCTCCGTCGGACCTGAAGGAGAGGAGAAAATCAGTCTGGAATAAAGAGACGGTGTTCCATCAAATGTAAAATGGGTTCTGGATGGAGCTGAAATGTCCAGATGACCCCTGATGAAACCGTGTCTACAGTTTGGAGCTTTAAAGCTGTTATCTGTATTAGACTGGATAACTTGTCCCTGTTGTATTCTCACATATCACCACTAGATGTCGTCTACACTACTGCTGTGGTCTGACAGAAGAAAACCAGAGAGCACAGGGAGTATGAACAAGGCCGGTGAGGGCAGGGGCTGTTGGGGAAAGGTCTTCTTTATTTGCTTAAAAACAAAAACAAACAAAAAACCTAGGAGATAGTAGCTTTAAAGTGTTAATAAAGTGCAGGCTGGACTACAGCATTCAGTGAAACATACTTTAGAAAAGAATAACATAATAACCAGTGTTGGGAAGGTGACTTTTAAAATGTAATCCCCTACAGATTACAGATTACATACCCCAAAATGTAGTTTGTAACGGAATCCATTAAATTACTTTAGGTGAGTAATGTAATCTGAATACTTTGGATTACTTGATTTGCTGTAGAGAAGCAAAGACCAGGAAATCGTAACATAAGATGTTTTGTCTGTTTAAAGAAAATAAAAAGCTCAGACTTTACTGAACCAAATTAAAAATATTATTGATAGAAGAAGAGGAGACACGTCCACACAGCAGGATTTAGTCCTGTTAAATCCTGTTTAAGACATGCTTTTAGTCCTGGTTTAGTCCTGGTTTAGTCCTGGTTTAGTCCTGGTTTAGTCCTGGTTTAGTCCTGGTTTAGTCCTGGTTTAGACCTGGTTTAGACCTGGTTTAGACCTGGTTTAGACCTGGTTTAGACCTGGTTTAGACCTGGTTGAGAGTCCGGCAATGAGTGGAATTACTGGGTAAAAAAAAGAAGAAAAAAAAGGGGATATAGCCCATAATGTGAAAATACCGCTGTGTAATCCATTTATTCCAACAAAGTAACTGTAATCCAATTACCACTCATTGAAACAGTAACTGTAACTGAATACAGTTACTCATAATTTGTACTCTGATTATGTAACTCCAGTACATGTAATCTGTTACTCCCCAACACTGATAATAACAAATTTAAGATTTGACAAAAAATCTCTCCAAAAGTTTTCTGTTATTTGAATCATTTAATGAAATGTGTTGTTTTACTTCAAGTGCAGCAGATTGATTGAGTTATTAAATGACCTTTGTGTACTCTTTGTGTACTCTTTGTGTACTCTTTGTGTACTCTTTGTGTACTCTTTGTGTACTCTTTGTGTACTCTTTGTGTACTCTTTGTGTACTCGTCTGTCACAACACAGAGTAAAACATGAACACAGGTCAAAGTGATCCAGTTTAACACTAATCATCAGACTTCTACCATTAATTTCAAAAGCTACAGTAACATGATTGATCTGAACACTGCATAATGGCAAAACTAAGTTATTTTCTGGTCTCTTCTAATGTTGTTTCCTCATCAAAAACAAACCTGGAGTTGTGTTTTGTTGCATTTGTTTCTCGTTCCTGTTTTGGATGAGACATTATAACACGGTTTAAAACTCTCAAAAGTAAATTTTTCAGAATCTAGGACATTTTCAATACTGCTTCTTCCCCTAACATAAAGAAGTACTCACTAGGACTGGTCTTGTCCTCCTCCGTAGACTCTGGACTGGTTGGCTCTTGTTCTTCTCTCTCCTCCTCAGGCGGCCATTTGGTTTTGGCAGCTTTAGCGCAGGCCTGGACAGTGCCCTCCTCCTCTGGACCCTCTGTCTTGATCTTCTCTGGGTCACTCTTAGGAGGCCAGGAGATCTTCAGTCTTCTGGTCTCACTTGGTTTGTCCTGGTTTTTGTCCGGAGATGACCCCTGACCCCGGGCCTCCATGCTGGCGGTCAGGACGGTGACTTTGGCGAGCGGCGAGTCCTCCACACACGGACTGAACCAAAACAAAAGATTATTACTCAAATTAATCAAAGGCAAAAGTATGAAGAGTGAACAGTACCAAACAAGTCTAAGAACCAGGACTAAACCAGGACTAAATCAGGACTAAACCAGGACTAAGCCAGGACTAATCCAAGACTAAGCCAGGACTAAGCCAGGACTAAGTCAGGACTAAGTCAGGACTAAGTCAGGACTAAGTCAGGACTAAACAGGACTAAAGGACTAAACCAGGACTAAACCAGGACTAAACCAGACTAAGCCTGGACTAAACCAGGACTAAACCAGGACTAAACCAGGACTAAACCAAGACTAATCCAAGACTAATCCAAGACTAAGACAGGACTAAACCAGGACTAAACCAGGACTAAACCAGGACTAAACCAGGACTAATCCAAGACTAAACCAGGACTAAGCCAGGACTAAACCAGGACTAATCCAAGACTAAAGCTAGGACTAAACCAGGACTAAATCAGGACTAAACCAGGACTAAACCAGAACTAATCCAAGACTAATCCAAGACTAAACCAGGACTAAGCCAGGACTAAACCAGGACTAATCCAAGACTAAAGCCAGGACTAAAGCCAGGACTAAACCAGGACTAAACCAGGACTAAACCAGGACTAAGCCAGGACTAAACCAGGACTAAACCAGGACTAAACCGGGGCTGAACAATTACTTATCCAGGACTAATCAAGAGACTAACCCAGGACTAAACTAAAGACTAAACCAAGGCTCAACTAGGACAAGACTTGGACTATCCCAGTACTGACCCAGAACTACAACAAGCACTGAACCTGGACTAAACATGGACTACAGTAGGTCTAAACCTGGACTAAACCAGGACTAAACTCTGTCTAACTCTCAGATCAGAAGCAGAACCATGAACAGGACTAAAGAGGTCTAAATAAAGACCAAACACAGACTAAACCGTTTCCAAAACCAGGACTGAAAATGACATCAGGTATTTAAAAAATCTGTTTCGATCTTAGGTCTGGTTGAAAGTATAAGTCACTCCTGAATGACCTGGTCCAGTACCTCTGGTCCTGCTCCGGTTCCTTGGATGAGGAGGGGCTGTGTTCCTGCAGGTCTAGCCTGTTCGGGGGGCTCTGTTCTGGGCTGTCTCCTTCAGTCTTGGGCCCCCACAGCTCTTTATGGGGCCGGTGCCCAAAGCCTTCGTCGTAGTTTCCCTTTGCCTTGAACAGCTGACAGAAGTGTGGTTTGCAGTAGACGTTATTGTGCAGAGACGCATAGTTCCCCAGACTGGAAGATCAAAAACATGTTCAGATGTGGTGTTTAAAATGTAGTGTTTAAGACTCGGTGTTTAAAATGTAGTGTTTAAAACTCAGTGAAACATTCTAATCAAATATCACTGATCATCTAATGTAGATTTTATTGTTAATTAGAAAAACACTGGACATGATGGACAAGTTGTTTTGGTTCTCATAATGATTTTCCAATCAGAAAGCACACTGAGCCTCACATGACTCTCTCATTTGTGTTGCCAGTTTCAAAGCTGAAATCCAGTTGGTTTAAACCTAAAATGTCTCTGATCTGAACGGTCACTAAACCCCAGCACCTGCAGCATCATGAGTCAGTGCTAGTGCAGCTTCTGCAGCTCAGGGAGAGAATTCTGGAGGTTACAGATGGCAGTGTTATTTTATAAACTGTTTTTTACTACATTGTTATTTCTCACCTGAGTTTACTGTTGCAGTGGTTGTATATTATTTACATTTATATACTGACCTGAGTTTACTGTTGCAGTGGTTGTATATTATGTACATTTATATACTGACCTGAGTTTACTGTTGCAGTGGTTGTATATTATTTACATTTATATACTGACCTGAGTTTACTGTTGCAGTGGTTGTATATTATTTACATTTATATACTGACCTGAGTTTACTGTTGCAGTGGTTGTATATTATTTACATTTATATACTGACCTGAGTTTACTGTTGCAGTGGTTGTATATTATTTACATTTATATACTGACCTGAGTTTACTGTTGCAGTGGTTGTATATTATTTACATTTATATACTGACCTGAGTTTACTGTTGCAGTGGTTGTATATTATTTACATTTATATACTGACCTGAGTTTACTGTTGCAGTGCGCACAGCGGAAGCAGGAGCTGTGGTAGACGCTCTGATTGGCCACGAGTCGCTCCAGAGGATAAACTGTCTTCTGACACGAGACACATGATTCACGAGATGCACTGAAGCTCTGAGAAGAGGAAGAAGAGGAAGAAGAGGAAGAAGAGGAAGCGGAGGAGGAAGAGGAGAGATTTAAATACACAGCAAATACCACATGTTAAAGATCTGTGATTCATGGTATTTTAAAGGCCTTTTTGTCACACTACAACAAACATAAGACATCATTTTACATTTTGTTCATTTTAAACCACAATATTAATCCAGCTCAATACTAAAAACTGCTCTTTAACTTCAGAAAAGCACAACACACTGGATCTGCTTCTTGAGTCACATTTCACTGTAGCAAGCAGCAGCTTTTCATTGACTTTGACTGTCATTGACTAAGAGAAAGTTTTAACACTACATAAAGATAAAGAATAAACATGTATAAACTGGGATAGTTGTGAACACAGGCATTTTGTACAATAGAGGATTCCTCAAACATGCAGGAATCAATTTAAACCCATCTCTGAGTACCAGTGATGAGGGAACACTGTGAGTAAAGGCTTTCAAAAGTCAGATGTGGATTTAACAGGACACTGTTAAACAAGCTGAATGACTTGACTGAAGTAGTTGGAGTTAGTTTTGACAACTTTAGAACTCCGATGTGTTTGTGTGAGAGCTGAATGTTCTGCCTGTCACTCCAGAGTGTAGAGTTAAAGAGTGTGGTGACTTACCCTGGGCGTGCGAGCCAGAGGAGAGTCTTTATGAATCAGAGAAGCAACAGCACCTAAACAAATGTAACAGCACCATGTGAACACTAGAGGGACACACTTACATTTGCAGTTCATGTAGTATACTCTATACTGTATAGTATGTATTGTGTATAGTGTATAGTGTATATCATATACTGTATAGTGTATAGTGTATATAGTGTATAGTGTGTA